GATATGCTAAACAAGGGTGTTCATCGGCTAGTAAGCGGGAATTCAATGAAAAAAAAAAATCGGGAATTTGGAAATTAGTTTTTTTTTTTAATGCCAATATCTGATTACCAATCAAACTTTAGTTTGGTAAATTAGATATTAGTAACTAGATTTCGGCCAAAGAACTGGCAATTCGATAATATCCATAATTAGAAATGTAAAAAATAAGCTAACATATTTTAATTGTATCTAAAAAAAATTGTTGCGCTAAAATAATATGCCATATGTTTTTCTAATAAAATTCAATCAATTTAGATGGTAATATTGTACTAGATTATTAGTTAGTATTCAGTAGTCAACTAATTACTTATTCATTACTAATTAATATTTAGTAATAATATGTGTGTATGTGTACATATAACTAATATATATAATATAATATAATATAATTTGGTAACGTATTTTTTATATTTATTCCCAAACTTTTTTTTACTAAACATTATAATTTAATATATTTTGATATTACCAAATTCCGTCTTACCGAATTTTGAAATCCAATCTATATCGGATCGGCCAATTTTCTTTATTGTTTTCCAAAATTTAAACAACCCCTAATGCTAGATAATAATCTGGAGCACGTAGAATTAAAGAAATGTATACCCGAGATTTGAGTATTTTTGGTCCTGAACTAATGCAGTAGTGTTCCCTTTAGAACTGCACGGAGGGTTCGCGGTGGCGGTGATAGCAGACATTACAAATCAAGTGCTCGAGGATTGTCAGCGCCCAGCGTTTTTCAGTGAAAAATTAATGGACTATTCTAAATTGTCCCAAATCCATCATACAAAGGTTCAGTAAATAAAAAATCATGCATCTTTTTACTTCGCTGCCAAATGCCTTCGTTGCCATTTGCATTTTCTGCTAGTTGGTATGCCAAAAAAAAAAAAAGAGGTTATTTTTTCTTGATATGTTCGGATTTTTCTATTATTTAATCGAAGTAAAAGAGGTCAAAAAATGGAATGAATATTAAATTATGAATTAATTTTTTCTACACTGACAATGCATGCGATGTTAGCATTGGATGAATAACAACTTCGTGAAATTTGAATTTGAAATTTAACTTTTACACACATGTCATGAATCTAACGGTGATAATAGTATATATACTGTCAGTGTATATAAGATTCACTCTATTATTATTGGCCGGAAATTATTTTGGAGAGTTGAGATAGGAAATTAGGCAGTGGTGATTTTTGAAGCGTGTTGGCAGTTTTTGGAATCTATAAACAAACGATACTCCTGTTCTTATCTGTTTAATAATAATCCAAAACTGATGAAATATTTGTCAGACGCTATAAAGTACAAATCCTGTGGATGTAAAGCGTGGAGTTAAATTCCACTCTTATCTTGTTTGCAAGACTGACTGTCTGTCATGCAGAGCTACTGCAGTGGTTTATTACTGCTATCAAAGACAATGCCGTGACCCTTGGGGAGTCCGTAAATTCTGCATTCGAAGGTTGCCTACAATTTTTCTTCATTCACGTATTGGCGATGATGTTTTAATTTAGTAATCTAAAGTTGGGATTTTAGAATTTATAAGTTTTGAATTCAAATTTTCGCATTTTCCACCCTTGCTCTCCAATATATATATATATATATATTGATGATTTAATTTGATTAATTTCAAGTCCTTTAAGCTCTATTTGATTCTATTTAGTCCTAGCTAATGCCCTGCTGACGTGATGAAGACCGGCACACAAAAAAGCGCGTAATTTGAATAGCCTTAGGGTACAAAAAGACCTTTCAAGTAATTAGAATTCATAATTTTTTAGATAATAACTCTAGTTAATTCAGCTAGTAAGGCCATTAGGGGTGGACAAAATACCCGTTGACTCAAAACCCTTGAGATCCAATATGATTTCCTCCAAAAGATAGGATACCCAATCCACATAATTTGATCGAATCAGAATGGAATCCAATGCCAATTTATGTGTGAGATGAGTTAGTGTTAGAAGTAGAGTTGCATATGAGTTAAATCGCTCGCAATCTAATTTGAGTCAAAAATTCGACTCGAGTTCAGTCTAATCAAGTCGAGTTCTAACTCGCGAGTTGATTCGATTTCATATATATTATTTTAATAATAAAATTATATATATATTCATAATATTTTATTATTTTATTTATTTTTTTAAAATAATTATTTTTTATACACTTGAATTTGAAAGCGAATTCAAATTCAAATTTTATATTGAGAGCTTGATGAATTTGAATTCAATTTCGAGTTTGTTAAAATTTGCAACTGTAGTTAGAAGAATAAAAATTTGCAGGTACATAATCTATCCCTCTCCCCCCCCCCCCTCCCCAACAAACACAATAAAAACGCACATATACACCATTTTGCTTAAAAAAAAAAAAATTTAACATGCCAAGAAAAGTGAAAAAAGGATTAGGGAGGTGGAGGGGGAGGAGGGGGGATGCCAATAAAGAATCTCGACGATTGCTCTGGACGGAGAAAAGTTTCCGTCGACGAGCTAGTTGATAGATATTTTTCTGGTTTACTTGACTTGACTTCGGTCTTCTGCTTCATTTCTTCACGCGAATCTGCTCACCACTTAGTCAACACCTCTCTGAAGATCATTTTATTCTGATACTTTAATAAGAGTACTTTACTGTTTTTTCTTCCCTCTCCATCCCAACTTTAGAACAGCACTGAAGGGGCAGCCAACTGGATAGTTGAAGTCGTTGCATGTGAAAAGTATGTTTGGAGTGGAAGCAGGCATAGTGCTAATTGCAGTAAAAGAGCTGCTTAAAAGGTAGATGGAAGTTTAGCCATCATGATGAAGATAGATAAGTACACTGATTCGCTGAAAAAGATTGTACTGCCAAAAAAGAAAGAAAAAAAGAGGTCGTGACATGTAGTTGTATGGTCTTGGTGATGATTTTGCCAAAACCCCGCCAGACAAATCTGAGCCCTCAGCCAAAAGCTGATCATTACTGGTTATTTTTGGCCTCCTCCTTTCATTTCTCATTTTATCTGCCAACAACTTCTTCTTCTTCCTCTTCTTTTTTTTTTTTTTTTCAAAAGAAGGTGAAATAGGAAAAGTGTAGTCAAAAATTTTTTTTTTTAACACAGGGAGTGTCCCGACTTTATCAGACTAATTTTCCTGTACTTATACACCGCGACCCCAAGAATATACAAGCGATAGAAAGATGATTCGAACACACGATCTCACGACCTAATTAGACTATTTCGAAACCATCCGATCCAACCCCGAAGTGCAGGAAAAGTGTAGTCAATTGCTATCAGGATTTGGGAATGGGAAATAAATACTAATAAACAATTTGTTCATCAATCTTAAAATATGCTTACTCGAAAAGTGAAGCTAAAATAAAGAGACAGGCTGAAAGAGATGCCAGATACAGTAATCCAGTAAACGAGAAAAAGGTCGGTCGGTTGGGAGAGTGAAATTTGAGAGAAGGGATGGATGATTTTGTTTCTTTTAAGTGAAGCAATAAAGGGGGAGAGAGAAGAAAGAAAAAAAAAAAAGGAAAGGGAGCCAGAGAAACCACAAAAGCTGTACGAGGTCATTTTCAGGAAGGGGGTGGTGGTGGCATTTGAAGTAATCCATCCCTCTCTATCTATCTTAACAAGATAGAATAATTTAGTCGGACAAGTAAGTAAGTAGAATCTAACAAAAACCAAAGCACACATCCCTTTGAACTAACTATAAACAATTCTATAACCAAAACCAAACCCCCAAAACCCCACCATATAAAATTCCAGCCTAAGACATCCATCCTCTTCTGTATTTAACTAATTAAGCTGAACAAGTTAAAAATAATAGTAGATTACTACTACTGGACACCAGAGAAGGTGCCAGAGACATGAGGAAATTAGTAGTGTAAAGTAAAAACTAATAAGCCCATTTCAGTTTTAACTAGAAAAAAAAATGAAATGAAAAATTGGAAGTCTGGTACTTGTTGTATAGGCTGTACAAAAACAAGGGGGGAGCAGCACAGCACAGCAAAGCAAAAACAGCAGAGGAGGACAGTGATGAGATCACCAATATCTTTAATCTCCTTTCTGACCAAACGCTGCCACTCTTCCCAGTGGCATCAAGAAAGGCTCTTATAGCCAAAAAAACAAGTCACCTTTTTTTTTTTCCCCCTTTTTCATATCCTTCACAGCCCTCCCATTTGCTTATACAGCTGTGTGCCCTGCCCTGCCCTGCCCTGGTCTCTCTCTTCTATCAAAAAAAAAAAAATGAAAATTTTGCAGGAAAATTACTGGGAGGGTTCCTGAATTTGGACTCTCTGCTTCTTCAACCGAAAGGTACAAAAGCAAAATTATCAGTTCTCTTACTCGGTACTATCTCTCCATAAGTACTTCTTTACAGTTGCAGTAGTTGTAATAGTTGTTGTACTAGCAGTAGAGATAGAGCAAATAGAGCAGGAGCAGCAGAGCAGGAGCAGCAGCAGCCTATATAAATAAAGGCTCTCTGGAAAGGGGAAAAGAAATATAGAGAGATGGGTTAGGCTAAGTGGGAGGGTAGCTTAGCCTTTTGGGTCTAGTATTTTTGAGTTTTTCTTGTGTGGTTGAGGGGTGATGGAATTAGGAAGGTTGAATGGCAGGGCCTTTTGGAAGAGGCAGCAGCAGTATCAGATTTCAGAATTGTGGCAGCAGAAGCAGCATAACAAAGAAGAGGAAAGTAGTGGAGAACAGAGTGAGCAAACAACAACAGCCCACTAAGAATAAAAAGTTTTCTCACCATCAATCAAAAGCTGGAACATCAACAAAAGCATCACAAGGGTCTGAGTCTGGATCCTCAGAGGAATCATCATCATCATCATTATCCGAACCCAAACCAACCATCCCAAGTCCCTATCTCTGCAGGACGCCAAGAAGAAGACGTGGAAGAAGAGGAAGAACAAGAACAAGAACAAGACCAAGCCCACCAACAATCCCAACTGCTCCTAAACCATCAGCTGCTCTATTTATCAGCAGCACCGCCCGAAACATCCCAGCCACCAAAGAAACGCTCCTACTTCCCTTCTTCGTCTTCAACCGAACCGGAAGACTACGAACATGCGAGATTGCGAGAGAAAATGGGAGAAAATTTTCACCACCACCACCAACTTCAACAGCAGCAGCAGCAGCAACCCACAACCCGCCAAAGTTCTTCAAGACTAAGCGGTTTAAGGAACAGCACTGGGGCCGGCGAGATCGTGGAAGTCCAAGGCGGGCACATTGTGAGGTCTACGGGGCGCAAAGACCGCCACAGCAAGGTCTGCACTGCCAAAGGCCCAAGGGACCGCCGTGTGAGGCTATCTGCCCACACTGCCATTCAATTCTACGATGTCCAAGACCGCCTTGGCTACGACCGCCCCAGTAAAGCTGTCGATTGGCTCATCAAGAAAGCCAAGTCTGCTATTGATGAGCTTGCCGAACTGCCTGCTTGGCATCCCACAACTGGTTCAGTGGCAGCAAACACGAGTTTTGAGCAAGACCAGCAAGCCCAAAAAAGTCGAGCTGATAATCTTCAAAACCAGCAGCAGCAACATTTAGGTGTCACCCACCATGATGATGTGGTGGGCGCTGCTATTGCTGCTGGCCCTTCTAGTAAAAGGGTAATGCCAATGTTGGGCAGTGAAAATGCCCAACAGGGCTTGCACCAAACTGATAGTGCTGCAAATCCAAGTGGAAATAGCTCGAGTTTTCTGCCTCCTTCTCTGGACTCGGACTCAATTGCTGATACTATCAAGTCCTTTTTCCCAATGGGGGCTTCTGCTGAGGCTAATTCCTCAGCTATGCAATTTCAGAGCTTTCCACCTCCAGATTTGCTCTCAAGAACCAGTAGTCACCCCCAAGATCTGCGGCTTTCTTTGCAGTCATTTCAAGATCCCATTTTGCTCCACCATCACAACCAACAACAAGCTCAGCATCATCAGAACCATCCCACAAGCCAACACCCTGAACAAGGTGAGGCCCTTTTCTCTGGAAATACTCAACTTGGTGGGTATGATGCTGCAGCCTGGTCTGAACACCACCAGCAGCCTGCAGAATTAGGCCGGTTTCATCAGAGACTGAGTGCTTGGAATGCCAGTGGAGACGGTGGTGGTGCAGGAGCAGGAGGATACTTGTTCAATTCGCAGGCGACGCCTCAGCCTTTCCTGCAGCAATTGTTCGGCCAAAACCAGCTTTTTTCTCAGAGGGGACCCCTTCAGTCCAGTAATACACCTTCAATTCGTGCTTGGATGGATCCATCAGCTATATCCATCGCCACTGCAGATCATCACATTCCACACCATCAGGCAGTGCTGCCAATTTATCCATCGTCGATATCTGGCATTGGATTTGCCCCTGGAGTAGGCGGATTCTCAGGGTTCCGCATTCCTGCACGAATTCAAGGTGAAGAAGAGGAGCACGATGGCATATCAGACAAGCCATCCTCTGCTTCCTCAGATTCTCGCCATTGAGTTAGCTCAAAACAACTGCAATTTCCCTCTCTTTTTGCATTACAGGTAAATTTTCCTAGAATTCAATAATTTGATTGCAGATATTGCCGATTAAGTTGATAGAAAGATTGAATCTTTTTGAAAAGGTTATACTGCTACATTAAGCTTAATTTGCAGGAGTTAAATTGCAGTTGCGGTGGGCAATCTTGGAGTTCCAAGTTTTCAGCTTTGTCGCTGCTAGAGCTTCAAAATTGCTGCAATTGGAGCAGAGAGAATTCAGTGAGTTTAACTCAATAATGGCGCCTACCACGGGAAGAAGAATTCTGAGTGTAGTTTCAGGTTTTTCAATCCCGGTTTAGCATGCTATGTTAAATTTGTTTAACTTCCCAGCTTTAGCTTCATGTTTAAACGAGCTCTTGTAGCTCAACTTTGTTAAGTTATTTGGAATTTGCTTTGTGTCTGTTGGTTTTGTGGTGATGCTTGCTTCAGTTTCTCTTTATGAACTAGAATTGCTGAAAATGTTCCAATGTGTTCGATGAATATGTTCATGTGACGCCTTAGAGCGAATTTCAGATTGCTGTTGCTGTCATGTTTGTCACTGTTTGCTTAAATTTCTGTTTATGAATTAGACCTGCTGAACAAGTTCTACTGTCTTTGATGAATACGTTCATGTCACACCCTAGAGCATATCCGACTACCATAACTAGCATTTTGTTTTCTATGATAACAAGGCAATCCAAGAGAGGTGAAAGGATGGATGAGTTTGCATGTATTTGGGCTTGTTCTTGCTTTCTCAACTCGAAAAAGATGGACAATTAACGAATGGGGTTGGTCAATTCATCATGCAGATGAAACAGTCCTTTCTATTAAAAAGAAAAAAAGGTTCTTTCTTGGCAATTTGATGCAATACAGCTTTGTAATGCATTATTTCATGCTCCAGCAACTTCCTTAACCCACAAAGAGAATTGATAGAATGACTGATGTTTTACATCTCTATCGATGCTTGAAGTTTTGGGAGCACTGCAAGACAGGTCATTTTCAATGCACAGCGGAGTCATTAAGAGTCAAGAGTACCTGGCTACTGCAGATAGCTGAGCATACAATTCAATTTGCTTCGAAGTTTTGTATCTTTTACAGTCATTCTGGCACAATGATTCTCATTAATTTCGTCTTACAAGCCATTGAGCCTTTCTGGTATAGATTGACCACATTGAATGAGTCCCAAAATATCCTCTTTAGCAGCAAGTGATTTGAGGAGAGGTGTTGAAAGCCTTTAATTTCTCGAGTCCATTTACGATTACTCGAAAAAGTGAATATTAATTTAGACGTTTTAGCTGTTGCTTTCACTGCAGGATCTAGATTGTGTAAGAGGGAGGTGGATTTGAATCATAGTTGTAGGTCTGTCAAGGTTGGTTTAGCATCAAAGTCAAGTTGTTGAGGAATCTAAGGTAATGTTCTGTAATTAAAGGGTATGGTAGATGGATGAAACGAGGGAACAGAAGCTGTGGGGCCAAGTGAAGGTCAGCTGCATGAGGAATTGAGGAACCTAGCAATTATTATGGGTGAAATGAGATGACGAAGCTCAATTATGGAAAGATATAGAGATGGATGCCACCAAATTGTAGTATTTGGCACGGTTCATGGTCCCCTACATCTGCAAATCTCTGTGCCTCATAAAAATCTCAAAATTTCGCTGGAATTTCGTTTTCTTTTGGGGAAAAGGAAGAAAAATATAGGACTTGGCTGCTGTTAAGATGGTGACAATTGCTCATGGTTGTTGGTACTTCTTTATGGTCGATGAGTACTATACAGGAGGGTGTGTACCTCGTTTGGATTTGCAGAATATATGTGATTGAGAGATTATGTAGATTGAGAAAAGGGCAGTTCGTATTAGCAAAGACCCTCAAATGTTATTAGTTCTTCTTCATAAAATACCCTCAAATGCTGTTGGAGAGGTGATGTTTGGTACTCGTTTGCAGCCACTGAATGGAAACACAACAGTAAGCGGTACGAGATTCTATGCGCTGAATTTATTAGTTGGATCGTACTGCTTTTAGGTTCTTAAATGAAATATGGACAACATAAATAATGCGAAAAGAGCTATCTTTTCCATTGGGTTGGACCATTAATCAGGTAAAAACAGGACATGAAATTAATTTATCCATCCTCCCAAGGACCCAAAACACCTGATTATTGCAGAAGTATCTATCAGTCGAACAAATGTTTGTACGCTAGTACACACTTATTGTACTCGATCCAGGTCATGTACGAATATCTCACAAAACGACGTAAAATATCATCATCGACATAATTAGCAATATAGTATATAATAGTAATGTAGGATTATCTCAACAGGTCTTCCCTTTGTTCTGTACAGAAATGATGGGCCGTTTTCTTCAATTTCGTCGCACACCAAGCCAGAATAATTTACGCAGAACCGGTATTGTAACTTCTTCTTTTTTTTTTTTTTTTTTGGGTTTTTTGGCCCCATGTTCTGAATCATTAATTGGCTCTTTTAAGTTTTTTGGCTAGCTTGCTTCTCGATGATATGGTCAGGGAGTTGTCTTGCCTGATGCAAACCTTTCCCGTTGAATAATGAGGGTTTAACTGTGACAACGAGTTTCATGGCAGCAGGGCTTGTGGTTTTCCATACTCTGTCTCCCTGCTTGGAATGAACTTTCTTTGAGTTGGCTAGAACTCTGGTTTCCCATGGACGAACTGCTATCCACCTCTCTTTCCAGCTCCATCCCCAGCTATCTTTTCCGAGATCATAATAAGCCTGGCCGAAGTAGTGGCTAGAATTCGCCCTCCACTACAAAATGAGATAATAGTTTGTTGTTATTAACTCGAGCCAATGCCGTTCCGGAACAAAGATCATTTTGATGGATTTTAGCAGCTTGCCTGATGAGAAAAGGCATAAGCCATGGCACGTTCCCTTTTAACAGCTGCAACTTCTCTTTGTTGTATCCTTTGGAGAATTTCTTCCATGGTTTCAGAGCCACCACACCAGTCAACCTGTTTATTATTAGAATGATACAACCATTACTAGTAGATAATGTCAAGTTAATATTCCTATCAGGTGGCATTGGTGATGCATATTTCGCAAGCATCGTCAACAATTTTCTCTTGGCTCCTCAAAAGCAAAGCATATAGTACATGGTTGCCAAATTTCGGGACTCGAAATTCAAAATATGCATAAGGGTCCCTTTATTAGGCCGTTATATAACACAAGCAAGACATGATGATAATGGATTCAGGGCCTTCTGGCAAGAGACAAGAGACACAGATCACATTGATTCACAATTTAATGAGCTCTGCAGTCTGTACTGGAGGAAACAATGAATAAAGGGCGGGCTAATACAACGTGGCCAATTCAAATTCAATTGGATGGCAACTGATAGTTAGCTGGACTGAGAACTGTGTTCGTTACCTCTAGTTCTTGAAGCTTAGCCTCAAGTTTCAGCCTGTTTTCTTGCTTCTTCTGCTGTATTCGGTTTTCGTTGACCATCCCTTGTCGACGAGCTTTAATCTCAGCTTGCATTTTGTTCCAAAAATGTATATGGATCAGAGCAGAAGATGCTTGCTTTTCGGCGGTCAAAGCAGCTATAGCACCTCTACATCTTCCTATTGCTCTTAGTCGATGTACCGCTTTCCTTGCCTACATTATTGTAAAGTTGAAAAGGGTTAATAGCAAAATGCACCCCAAAGCATGCATAATTTTCCGATTGCTTTCCTCATTCTCATTGTCTAGTTGGATCAACACGTCTGCTGAACTTTTCAATTTTTCTAATATGATACAATTAACCTTGCAAAACCAAATTGAATTGAGACATATCGTTTTAGATGCACACGTCACAAAAATATGTATCCATTGAGGGTGTGTTTCATAATTAATTTACAAATAGAAACAAAAGTTCACTACAATTATAGCCTCAAATTGTCGCCAATGATGCACGACGATTGATTATTAGGGATATAAACGAGTCTAATTAAACCAAATACTCTAGCGTTCAAGTTTGTTTGATTATTTTAATGAACTTGAAATTTTGTTCAAATTTGACTTGTTTATTTGCCAAATCAAGTTTGACCGAGTTTTTATTATTATTGAATTTGCATGTTATCGAAAATAGAAGGTTGTTCAAACTTTGCTTGACTACTTGACAAATCAAATTCCAACGAGTTCTAACCGAGTCAAAATCGATTTGAATATCGAGTAGTTTAGTTCATCTTTCAACTTTATTGATTATGTTGCTACACGTCTCCTAACTTTTTCTGGGGTCGAAGTGGATTGTGTATTTACAAAGATTCAGTATATATTTTGAATCAAATCCAAACATTCAAATGATTTGTGTACAGCGGTGACTACTTTTCAGTCCATTAGCCTTTCCACAATAGCAGCAACCCTTAGGACACCATTTTCAATTCAAGATCAATAATTTTTAGACGAGCTTATCATTTCCATGATAGAGAGAGAAAGAAATATAATGATAATAAGGCTTTAAAGTACACTTGCCACATATCTCCTGAAGGCAGTCTGAATTCGAGTGGCAGCAGTATCCTCTGTAATTCCCCTCCTTCTGGACCTCTTACTGGACGATCCATTTGCGATAGCCAGAGCCGTGGACTCTTTACCAGAGAGATACCTCCACATGGACCCATTTGCTTTTTGGGCCGGCGCAGATTTTCCCTGTTTCAAACAATTTCATATTCCAGATGTGCGAAAAGAATATAGAGTCCACGTGCAAAGCGAGTGAGCCCAGTAAGCAGCCAATTAAAGGACTTTACTCATGTGGGGTCGGGGGGTTTGGAGAAGTTATTTTATGGGATGGTGTTGAAAAAATTTACTATAGCAGCACATATAAATTACTTTTATTATAAATATTTTTTGAAATATTTGATATATTGTATGGATGAGATATTTTTTAAATTATTTTTATTTATATATTACTGTAATATAGTATTTAAAAAATTTTATTTTTGAAAAAATGGGCAATCCAAACAGTAGTTTTGTTTTTCTAGTGAAGAAAGTACCTTGCTGCTAATAGTGAGGAAAAAAAATTTGGGGATATTATTTAAATAATAGTATAGTAGTACTTTTTTACGTTCTAAACAAGAAGTAAATTATCAGGACGTTCTAAACAACTTGTTTGGAGATATAGAACAATGATTGGGTAGAAAAGTTACCTTTCCGTGTTTAGATCCGTCTTCCTTCACTTTCTTTAAGCTAATAAATGTTTTAAACCAATCACCTGATCCCATACTTGACTTGATCAGAGGCTTCTCCTCAATCCCTGAATTCAGTTTCAGATTGTTCCCACTACGAAGCAGGAAAAAGGGAAAATTTTGTTGCTGTTGTTGAGAAGCAACAAAGATGGGAAAAAAAAAAAAGAAGATGCAATTTGATGGGAAGTTAGAAGCAGGACACAACAGTAAAGCTGCAAGAGTATTTTTACTCTCCAGAAAGAAGTAAAGAATGGTGAGTTATAAGAAAAATATGCTGATGCGAGAGGAGAAACATTGAATGAATACTTGGCCCAAAAAAAAAAAAGAAAAGAAGAAAAAAATTAGAAGTGCTTGGGTAAAATTTGACAAGCCAACTAAATTGAAGGTGTTGTGTGACCTGCAAGAAGCTCAGCTGTCACCAAAGAGGGTGGCCGGAATAAGGTAGCACATAGTATTCAGTTGGCAGTCCAGTTCAATCAATTATGTAATTTAATTTCTTCTTCTTCTTTTGTCATTGACCTACACTGGGGACCCAAAAGTGGTAGTAGGATCAGAGTTTTGGTGACAAAAAAATTATACAGATCGTTATTTGATATCCGGACCAAACTAGCAAATAAAAAGAAGGAAGCAATCTTCTGATTGCCTTATAAAAAACTATCTAATTAAAACCAATAAATTTGGTTCCAATGAACCAATTTTTTTCAATCAAAATTGGTCACGAAATGGTCCCGGCGAGGCTCGAACTCGCGACCTCCGGCTCATAAGACCAGCGCTCTAACCAACTGAGCTACGGGACCACTCGTTGTTAGATGTGTAATGTCCAAAAAAAAATCAGTGGTATATAATGTCCAAAATTAAAATTCAACGTCAACCAAAGATGAGGAAAACCGTATTGGTTCATGACATGGTAGCACACAGATCATATTATTATGCTCCAACCCCAAAAAAAAAAAAAAAGACAAATAAAAGTTAGCCCGTAGATTGATAAAGTTAAGGCTTTTTTTTTAACTTAAATTAGCACCCAAGTAACCTATGCCAAAAAAGTTGCCTCAAAGAAAGCCAAAGGCGTTACATCAAGACGTATATTCAAAACTAAAACTTACACTACAAAGATCTGATATTTATTTGTGCACTTACCATAATTTCCCTTTTAGGAGGGACAATGAGGAGAGGAGGTGAAGGTTGCACAAAAGGGTAAGTGCATTTGTTTGGCCAAGTTTGAAAGATTTGAGATTTGTAAAAGAGGAATGGCCAACAAATTGAAATCCTAATCCAAGTCGTTGAAAAAGATAGATTGGCCTTCTTCAATTGCTTTTGTTCTAGCCCTTCTTCTTCAAAAATTTTTTTTCTTCTTCTTCTTTTCCTTGTGTGTGTGTGATTTCCCACACATGACTTTAATGAATGTAGCATAATATAATAACTATTCTTTTTTTTTTTTTACCTTGCATCATTAGATTTTGAATAAAAAAAAATTAAATCTAAGTGATTTTCTACTTAAATCGCATCTAAGCCATAGATGATGGTCCATGTTCTTTGTTTAGTAGTAGAGTATCTGGTTTTTCCCTTTCGTGTATATTTCTTTCCATGTTCTTCTAAGTGATTTTTTAACTGAGAAAAGGAATGGCAATCAAATTATACTAGTTTGTGACCAGGCATGCTCCTTAATTTCCTCAGAAAAACCCTGAAGGGATTTCATCCTCATCATTGGATCCCCTAATAAAAAGTTTTTTGCAGTATTCAAAACCTACCAAACAAGAGAAAGAATTTAATGATTCAAACCCCAAAGAAATTATATAGGAAACAAAATAAGAGAATGGCAAAAATCCCACTAAAGATTTGTCACTGTTCTAATCAATTGTTCAAGAAAACTAACATGTAAAAGCCTAAAAAGAAAAGCAAAAAAAAGAGAGACAGAATCTTCAGAAATAGATGCCCTTTAAATCTTGTACATGTAACAAGATCTTGGATGCACAAATGACAATGGAGTTGGTGTCAATGTCATGGAGGCTCCACAGTCCTGTCCTGGCCGATGGATGGCCCTCTTCCAGATACTATAAATTAAATGTTTTCTTTTCTTTTCAATAAGTTAGAGGCAGTTTGTTGAGACTAAGGTGGGACCATTCTGAAAGCCAAATCCATTGGCACATAAAAGCTAGTGGAGATTTGGTGATGTTTTCAGTTATCTTGACCTCTGAGATGATTCCTTTTTTTTTTTTTCAAAAAAAAAAGATTGATACTCAAGTAAAACTGCTGAATCTAAAGCCAGTTGTTACTCACCAGGATTTTGTTGCAGGAACATATAGATTGGGCCAGGGATAAATATTTGATAACTCAGGTTTAAATGTTGAACTTCGAAGTTTACGCACACAGCCAGCCGTAGGTTCTTATACTTATTAGCCCTTTGTATACGATCTTTCTTTTAAGACTCTCCTTTCCCTAAATTGGAATAGATTATGTTATATAAATATTATCATTGCCGTAAAAAAAAAAGAAGAAGAAGAGAGTTTTACACACTGCAGGCATTTTGCATGCTTACTTAGTATGTTGTGTCAAAAATCATCACTGCATTTTGCATGCTTAGCTTCATTCCAATTTCCATGTCTAGGCTAAAAATTTTCACATCCCACAATCCTGATTCAGAAATTCAAGGGGTGTATATTTGTATGTAATAGCAGTTTGGATTCTTTTCTAAAGAGAATGGATTTTTTTTTTCTTTGTATGAACCTAGCAAAAATCAAGAAGAAGATTTTCATTCTCAAGGCGTTAGATTATATCCATAATCCATCCCTTTTTGACTTAGATAAACCACAATCAAATACTACTATATCTCATTGGACAATGTAGGGATCGCATGAATCTTCTTTTGGGCTGTCGCTTTTAAGTTCTCTCTTCTTCCTACCTTTTTTTGAAATGTTAACAAACTTATCATACTCTTATCAACCAGAAAAAAAAAATTTTAAAAAAAAAGAAAAAGTAAAAATGAATGCACTCGTCCCCAATCCCCACCGATGATGTAATGGCTATATGATTTCCGGAAAATCCAACCTCTTTTCTAGAAAGACTTGAAAACTTTTAATCAATTCCAGTAAATTTGCGACATGCCAACTGTTGATTCAAAATATTCTAAGAAAGAAAATCAATTAATATTTATTCCGACTATTGATGACGGGAAAAATGTTCCAACTTACCAAAAAAATTGTACTATGTAAAATAAATTTACAGCCAGACGATTATTTCTTAATTCTAGCTTTAATTAAAGAATTATGGCTTCAGAACTCAACCTAACTAATTAAATCTTGTAAATACTAGGGATTTTGTAATTATGGGTTGTGTTTGGATTGCATTTTCCGTCATTTTTCATGGAAAAATTACTATAGCGATTTGATATATGTGAGGGAAAAAGGTGATAGGGAAATGTGATCACGGAAAACGACAATATTTTCCGACGGAAACAAGCAATCCAAACAAGGCCGAGCGATTTGATATATGTGAGGGAAAAAAATGATAGGGAAATGTAATCACGAAAAACGATAATATTTTCCAACGAAAACAAGCAATCCAAGCAAGGCCTAAAGTTTTCTGCCATGGACTAAACTAGAGACATTTCTCTTGTTGGTGAATTGCATTGCATGCATAGATTTTAGATTTATTTATAATAGTGTATATATATATATATATGATTACCCACTCAAATATGGACCCACATTTTGACGTGTAGGATGGAAAGTAAATTAAAAAAAAAAACAAAAAAAAAACAAAGGGTAAAGAAAGGAATGTGGAAGAATTACAAATTGGAAGGAAAGTCTTAAGATAGGAAGATGCAGCGAGCACAATTAAGTGGAAGTGGCTGCTGCAGTGGTGTGGTATCTATAGCTCAGAGAAAGTACCTTCTTGAGAGTCGGTCTAGGAATAAAAGGAGGAGTGGAGCGAGGATTTGGGCGACTAATTAGACTAGGAATGTGAAAAGAGACCATGCATTAGATTTGGCATTATTATTATTATTATTTTCTCCTCTGTGAAACGAGCAAAAGAAAATATGGGTTCTTTTGTTGTTGTAGTAGTAGCAGTAGTAGTAGTAGTACTCGACTTTTTATTAAAAATCCCAGAAACATATTTAGCTAAATTGTCTTTGAGATCTGTCTCTCAGACACTACCAACTGGGTTTTGAGAAAAATCCGAAGCTTTCAGATTCTCTCTGTTCTCAAAAAGCCTTTTTCTCTCTCTGTCTACGCACATTTTGGGGAAGATGTGCTGTAAGTAAATAGAAAAACATTTCATTTTTTTTTTTCAAAAAGTTGTGATCTTTGCTGAATTTTGGGGAAGTTCTTGTTTCCATATAAGTAGCCGGTCATAACTCCATGACCTGCGAGATTATATGCAATCTATTTATGCAGATTTTGTTTCTTTCTCGGTTCTTCTCACTGTTTGTGGGTTTGTTTTAATTTGTCAAGATTTTCCATTTTCTCTGTTCTCTGTTCTTTTTTCTTTTTTCTAAGATTCTGTGTATCTCAAGAATACGGGGCGTTGATTTATATGCCAAATGGGGATTGGATGGTCTATGTATAAAAGGGAATGGGTGGGTTCTCTTTAAAATTTACTCAGTACTACTACTATCAATGACTCTGAAATGATCTTTTGTATGGCTGACCCCAACCATGGCTCAAGAAGACCATGGCCAAAAGTATAGCAATAGTAGTAGTGGTGGTGGGGCAAGTGGCAGTGGTGGTAATATTGGTGGTGGTAGTACTAGCGGTAGATCTCAGAAGAAGATGAAACAGAAGAAGGTCCCACAAAGAGGGTTAGGTGTTGCCCAGCTCGAGAAGATTAGATTGGAGGAACAGCAGAAAATAGGGGTAGTTTTACAAGCTGCCGATGTATTGCCACCTAATCAGATTATATCGCCTAGTAATTCTTCTCCATGTTTAGCTGCTCAATGTCCCGCATTTAGGCCTAGTTTTTCTTCTTGTCATTCAGTGCCTTTGCCACCGCCATCACCCAGTGATCTTCCTTCGCCGAATTCTTTGTTTAGGCCAACCCCATCAATCCCAAGTGTTGATATTATGCATACAAACTCTGTTCCACTGTCGAAACCGTTCAACGTTGAAGGAGGAGGTGAGATAGGATGGTCCGCTGTCCCTGCTCTGCCTAAAGTGTGGAACGGTGAATTTAGTACTGATGGGGAGAGTCAGAGTTTGGATCATCTTGGATTCGCGTACCGGTCCAATGCGAAT